GGAGGGGGGGGAGGGGCGGAGGGAACATGACTCGCCAGGCTGCCTACACCAGGCGTGGGAGGAGGGCGGGCGCCCTGGAGGGAGACAGACTCCGCACTGCCAGTAGAAGCCGGGTTCGGGGAAGCCTGAGAGTTTGCGTAAGAGGAAGGAGGGGAGGACACAGGAATGGCCGCCGCAGGTGTCACCAAGCTGCCGAGGGCGGCGGCAGGGGGCAGAGAGGGGCTTCCTTGTACTGAGGTCCTCCCCGCCCCGCGCTCGCCCGTCTCAGGCAGTCCATCCGCGTGTACGCTCTCCTCCCATCGAGAAGCCCGAGTCCGTGGCATTTCCCCCCCTTCAATCGCCGGTCGTCCCTCCGAGGTACCGTCCTTTTTACCATGTAGCGGCCTTTGCGAGTCGCATTGGTTTTCTTGGATGTGCCCCACACTTTGCTCTGGCTCCTTTGCACGCTCCCCTCGGGACTCACGGGTCTGCGGCTCTTCCTCCTGCTCCTTACCGCCTCGCATCTTCTCCGCCTTATTCGGCACCGCATGCAGTGAATTCACATTCAGCTGCGCCCCTATCTCCTGCTGCTGCTGTGGTTGCGCATGCCGCTTCTTCTGCCCGTCGTCCTCCTTGTCTCCCTGGCCGTGGCCCTCGTGCTGGCCGTCCATCCTCTTCTCACCCTCGTGCGAACCCCGACGTCGTCGGCGCGAGGAAACGAGGGGAGGGGGAGGCAGGCGGGAGGAAGGAAGGGGAGGAGAGGAGGAGCGAGGGCGGATGGAGGGGCCAGGAGCAGAACGCGGAGGCGGGCCGGGCCGGAGAGGAGCTCGAGGAGGAGAGGGCAGGCGCGCGGGAGGACATTGAGGAAGGGGCGAGCGAGACCGAGAGCGGCTGCGCTCCCTGGCAATCCGTCCCCTTCTCCCGTCGCCTCTTCCTTCCCGCCTTCTTTCCTCGCTCCTCTTTTCCCGCACCTGCTCATCCTCCCTCCTCTGTCTCATCCCCCCAGGTCCGGCGCGACGGGGAGGGGAAAGGGAAAAAGGCGCGAAGGCGTGGGAGGGAGAGGGGGACGAGAATGGCGGGAAGGCTTCGCGGACTGGGCGGGAGGAGGAAGGAGAGGTCGGGGGGGACAAATGTCTTCCAGGCCGGTC